CGAGGAACCTTCGTCTGCATCCAGGACATTTACAATTAGAGTTCTAACAGTCAATCTCCCTTTTATAATCCAAAATCTCGAACGAAGTTCTGTGAAGAGGTATTCTGTTCCCATTGATCTGGGTTGGAATGTCTCTGTATCTCTGCAACTGGATTGGCTCCAAATGGCTTGAATGCACGGCTTTGGTAAAGCACCCAATACAGGACGTTCGATAATCCGTCCAGTACGTTGCTCCATTCACTTTAGTGGCGTGATTCGGCTCTTGGAAGCGACTATCGATGAGGTGGATTCGCGATCTTCGTAATTACTGACAAGATAAGACACTGCTGCATAGAAATCTTGGGATGCGTCTGAGAAGGTGTGCATTTAGACGTCCGTAGGTTCCGGCAAGCGAAGAGGGCGAGGGACTTCAAATCCGTTTAAAAGTCGCTCAGTTATTTTACCCAATTGTTCCACTCTGCACAAATCGTGTGGCATTTTGTCTTCACAACCAATTTCAGCTGCCCATGTCTTTCGCAACAATAATTTCGCTCGTATAATGAAAGGAGCCAGAAAATGCAATGGATCGCATTATCCACTGCATCTGCGGCCTTCGGGAAGCGATCTTTCTGAAGAGGTATTTGCGCATGTTTGACGCTGAAACTCGTAAATTTTGGGTTCTTTTTCTTTGTTCAAATCACGCCATAGAAAACGATGAAAAGGTCGATCTTTCTCTGCAAGTCTGACTTGTAAGAACATCTGAGAGATATCTGCTCTCACTGCCGCAGGTTCTCTTCGAAACCTGGTTAAAATGTCTACCAATTCTCGTTGGAGCTTGGGCGCGTCGTTCAGACATTTGTTTTTAATTGCGCTGTGTCAGAATTATCTGGTTGTATGCAATAGCGACATCCGGTTTCTTTCTTAGGGACGACTCCAGCTGCAGTGCCTTAAATGAGCCATGTCGTAGTTGTCGGCGAAATCGGGTTCACCATCTCTCCAAGGAACACCTACTTCATATCTCCCGTTAGTGTAATAATGGGTTGATTGCACAATTTCAACTCCTGTTTTCGCGTCTGTTGTCAGTGGTCGAACGTTCTCGTCCTTAATGCCAATGGCTTCAAGCCCTCAAAAAATTTCAAGATTGTCACTTATTTCTTGAATATGTTCGGTATGGTATGTACGTGTCATGTGGGATTGGGTGGTCTATGTCGTCGGGTTCTTACTCGTTGGACCAAAACAGATCCAACCGAGGGGCGTTTGTCGTGCTACTGGGTCTTTAACATTCTTTCCTGTAACTTCTCTTAACACTTTAAGGAATACATGGTGATCGCTTTCGTTTAAAATATCGATCTGCTTTCGCTTTCAAACTCTTTCAAACTGGATGGTCTCCAAGTGTGGCAAATTGCCCTTAAATTCGTTCCGCTCAATTGCCGGCGTGTTCCCCGTTACGTTAGCTAACACATTTGCTTCCACAGGCAATGAAAAGGTTCCATTCATTGATATGACCACAAACTCTATATACTGTATACGTTTCGACTGTCACTTAAACTCCGTCCCGCCTGTTCCTGATATGGTCAAATCCAGTTTTTCTCCTTTCAAGCGCAACTCTTCTGCTATATAGGCTTTCAGTGAAATATGATCAAATGGAGCAAGGATCAATCATAACATTGATTTTTAGCTTCTTGCCGCCAATTTCGACAATTGCAGGGAAAACCATCAATGTTATTTGTTCAACTCGGTTTGTCGTATAGGTTCTTGCGTCCGTCCCTCCAATTGAAGGATTGGTCTGATCTTGTTTGTTGTCATTATCTTCATTCTATTTTCTTATTCTCTCAGGGTCGTGCAACAAGCTGCTATGTCCTTTACTTTCAGCTCCGCTGACTCCACATTTTCTCTTTCTGCAACAATTCTTACTTCGGTGACCAGCCGCTAGACAAGAAAAGCACCGTCCTATTTTAGCAATTAGTTGATTTCGTGTAGCTACAGGGAGCTTTTTAAATTCTGCACAAACCCAAGCCGGATGATTGGCGTCACAATTCCTAACGATAAATTTCCAAACTTTCTTATCCGCATTAAAGCCCAGATTATGACGTCATCCTCCATGGACGCTTTGGCGAATTCTCCCGTTTCCTCCTTAGCCTCATCCATGATGCAAGCACACCTCTCAATTTTAAAATCATGATCTTCATCCCGCTCATTTAACCAATACTTATAATCTCGGACGTATTACACTGGAAGTTTTTCCTTCACTGTCATGGTGCTAACTTCTAATTTCATCATCACCACGATCATCCTCTTGTAATACGATAAGAATACTGTCTAGCGTTAACAAGGCTTCCAGGTTATGGCGTCGTACCAAACTTGGGTAGTGCTCTTAAGGTTGCCAAATGGGTCAGGTTCTGTCTACGTTTACCACCGTACTTTTCTTTCGCGTTGTAACTTTTCTTTCGCCCTCTCGTACGCACGCTGAGTGAATCCAAGGTCCTTTACCGTCTCTAACGCTTTTCCTTTCAGACAGTTCTGCAGCCGTAGAATTTTCTCCTTTACTGGCATGTTTGTTTCATCAACAACTGATGTGAATGCCGCGTTCCACGTCTTGAAATCGGTTTATCAACATCAGAGAAGCTTAGCAGCTCTGCGCCTTTTAGTTTCAATAAGATGGGGGTCGGGAATAGGACGAGATAGGGACGTTTTAATAGGTTCCGGATCGTCAATCACAGATGTTGCCTTTTTGTTATTCTTGCTGTATTCTTTCGCCCTTATTTCATTTTTCATGCTCTTCTTCTAATTTTTCTAGTCGTTCATTAGCATCCCTCGGTTATTGTTCTCGAAGTTCAACAATTGAGTCTCCTTTCTGTGACTTTGCGATCTAATCATTTGAGGATATGGTTATGTTTGATTTCACAGATGATTTACTTGATGATTTTATTATTGTTGACGAGTCCGATGCATTTTTACTCCGGCTTCAATAATCGCTCCCTGATATGCTCGTTAGCAGCATGGACACTAGTGTCCACTAAATCTAAAAATTCCGAGAGTTCCTAATCTACGTTTTCATAGATGCAGTTATTATTATAATTCCGACAGGCCTAAATATTCCTTGACGTATGATTCAGGACATTAGCATTTTACATTTATTAAAATTATCGCATAGCCAAAAGGAAAATATGCAAGGTGAGCAAAACATGGAGCAAATCGAACATGAACAAATAGAAAGACACGCAGCTTATCAATGTAATCTGTGCTAACGACGTTTTCCAACTAATCCTGGGGAAAATGTTCATATGGGTACATGTAGAAAAAGATTTGTGGATACACATTCAACTCAAATTAATGCCAGGTCAGGAGATACAAGATCATGTTACTGTCAATGTCAATACAACTCCAGGTGGCTATGTTGGAAGTGAGACTGGTAAAGCCAAGCATGCTGAAGAATTGGTAAGCTCTTGGCGTGATCAATTGATAGTGTTCTCTAAGATTCCCAAATCAGAACCTCAAGCAGCTTATGCAGGATTTATGAATGGCTTCATTCGCAAATTAACCTACCATATGAGAACAAACCCAACATTAAGCAGCATCTTTTAACATTATATGAAATAGTGGACAATAAGTTTATTCTCAGAATTACGAAGGTGCTTATTTGCTTAAAGGATGAGCTATTTCTTCTCTCTTCACAGGTAAAGAAAGGTGGTTTGGGAACCCCTATTTTCTTGAACGCCCTATTCGAATTCACCAACTCCCGCATTGTCACTAACCAATTGGTACTAAAGATCAAGACAGCACTTCTCCTGTGGATGGGGAGTAGTATGGAAATTCCAGGAGGAACATAATTAAAGCTAGAGAAAACCGTAACCACAACAGGCCTACAGCAAGTCCGTGAGAAAATGAATCCCGAAGAAATTAGAGCAAATGATTTAAGCCGGTTAAAGGGAACATCTAGTTGGTTGACAATGCTACCATTGAAATCAGAATTTTTTTGGGGGGGAATAAATGGAGATTACTTCATGGTTGGCGAGTGCGTACGATTTTTATGCACGAGTTGTGAAGGATCGCAATACGAACGAGTGAGCGCAGCGAACGAGTGAGTTTGCGATCCTTCGCAACGAGTGCATACTAAAAATCGTACAAACGAGCCAACCATGAAGTAATTCAGTTGTTTATTAAATTTGTATAGAGATCAATTTGACAACGACACGCTTTTAATATACAAAAACACAGCGAGCAACAAAATCGAAACTTTATCCATCAAAACATATTTATTACCGTTCAGTTTCTTTGTAATTTTGTTCAATAGAAGTTAGATATTCTTTCCGAAAGATTTGAGAATGTGCTGAATGTAAAAATATCTTGAATATGAGAATTATGTTTTGAATTTCACTCCTATATTTCGACGCCATCTTGAAAGAAAATGTAAACAAAATGCCGCCAAAATGACATACGACCAATAAAAAGCCGTGTATGGCATTTTTTCACACGTGAAAAACATCGTACGGTCCAATCAAATTGCATGAAATTTATTTACACAGTGAAATACGACTTTTATTTCATCATTCTGCTGTGCATAAATCTCTATACACATATAATAAGAGAAAATTCTATGATGTAGTCAGTCTTAGATATCGCTGGACACCGAAATATTTACCATCATTTTGTCCTTGTGGTAAGAGATATAATGTTGACCATGCTTTGTCCTGTATGAGATGTGGCTTCATATACAGGAGGCTATTGAAGGATGTATGATATGATGTTTAGGTTGAGCCACATCTCAAGACTGACGGGAGAAGCTCTTCCTGGTGGTACCAACTCATACGATGAGGCTGGTTTAGACGTCAGTGTGCGTGGTTTTTGGCAGAGGGGGCAACGGGCATTTTACGATGTGCGGGTTTTTAACCTTTTTTCTACGAGCTACCTGAGCCAAAATACAGCACTCAGAAAGAACGAGAATGAAAAGTAGAGATAATATAACCAATGTGTAATAGAAGTTGAGCATGGTTCATTTCCCCAGTTGGTTTTTACACCTTATGGGGGAATGGCAGAGAAGCAGAACGATTCATTGTCTAACTAACATTGAGATTGTCAGAGAAGAAACAATTTCTGTACAGCATGGTAATCAGTATTATGCCTACGAGGCTCTAAAACTGGGAAGAAGAAGTGAGATGTGACATTGCGAACATTGAAATATCGAATCCATTTGGTAGATTTCAGTAGATATGCTCAGATAAACACGAACAATATTTTAATATTTTAGCCTCAATTCAGGGTCAAGTTTAATAATATACTTTTACCATTTTTAATGTATTATTTATACAATTTTTAATAAAGTTTTCCCATTATTCTTTTTTTAATGTCTAGCTAGAATAATAGAATTACATGCTCGAAAGATAGATATTAAGAATATTTCTGAACGCGAGCCTTCCCCAACTGCTAAAACGAAATGGTTAGATAAGCTAAGGATTATATCTCTCAATTCAGAACATGGATGGACTTATTACCAAAATGTTCAGTAAGCTGTCACACACGCTTGAAAGTTATTAAATCAGCCAATAAAGGAACTTTTGTAAGCTATGTAGCCAACTAACAATTTCATTTCAGATAACAATTCGCTTCTTTGGCTAAAATTGATTGTTTATCTCCCAATCTCCTATGCTTTCAATAAAATGTTTCTATTTCCTAATTTGTACAGGCCCGTTTGATTCAAATATTGAATATTTTTTCAGATTTTTCAGCTACACCTGTTTCCGTAAGGTTACAAGGACCATTAAATGGAACAGGAACGGGTCGTGTTGAAGTATTCTTTCGTGGTTATTGGGGAACAATTTGTGATAATGGGTGGGATATGAGAGACACAAGAGTTATTTGTCGTCAACTTGGTTATCCCGATTCTGTTAGAACTCTCAAAAGAAACGAGGCTCCTTCTGGTTCTGGACAGATATGGTTTTCTTACCTCTCTTGTTCTGGGGAAGAGCAAAATATAACAAGTTGTTCTTATAGATGGGATTATCCTTATTGCTCACATTACGCAGACGTTGGAGTAAAATGTTCAACAACAGGTAAGTCCAGGCAAACAAGCACTAATCTATCGTCAAATTCAACTCTCTGATATAAACGCAATTATACATTGCCAAGACCTGCAAATTCCCAAAGTACAGATGGCAAAAATTTTTAACACTTTTACAAATATGTACAGTACGTATACCAATTGTGTGGAACTCTTCCTCTAGTTCTTTGTGAAGAAAAACACATGAAATTTTCACATCACATTAACTACTCTAATGTATACGTTGATTGCTCTCAATTGTTAACGCGATTAACACCATTATTTCACATCATATCAGATATTCAATCGTCCATGTTCACTATTTTACAGCCATAACTGCACCACTCAGGTTACAAGGCCCATTAAGTGACGATGGTATTGGTCGTGTTGAAGTATTCTACAATGGAACTTGGGGAACAATCTGTGACAATAGATGGGATTTAAGAGATGCCGGGGTGGTGTGTCGTCAACTTGGTTACCAAGATGTTGCTCGGGCCTTCCGAGCGGGTTCGCAGTCCGTACCTTCCGGTTCTGGAAAGATATGGTTGCAGAATTTGGAATGTACTGGCTCAGAGCGTAATATAGCAAGTTGTTTCCATGGAGGTTGGGGTGTTGCTTATTGTTCACATTCAAGAGACGTAGGAGTTGAATGTAGTACAACAGGTAAAAGATTATAAATTATGACATTGTCTTCTGAATATATTTTAGTACATTATCACTGTAAACCATGGGCGTCAATCGAACGTTAATTGAGGGGATTCTGTTATGCCAGGCTGATTTGTATTGAAAGAGAATTGTTTTCAAAAGAGCAGAATATATTAATATGTATAGCATATTACGTATAGCAGAATATATTAATATGGTCCCTCACAATTAACGGTTAATTTAAAGAGAATGCTTTAAACTACTTTTTTATTTAGAGTGAACTCTTTTCCGGTTAATATCATCAATAATCTACTTGTCTTCTATAATTACTGGTTATCATTGTCCAAATTCATTTGCGTAGATATTCTTTCAAGGCTTTGCAGTTACACAAATGTCGTTTCACTTTAATCTTTTTCTTAAATATGTCTTTATAGATTTCTCAACTACGCCCGTGACGCTAAGGTTACGTGGACCATCAAGTGAAAATGGAGCAGGTCGTGTTGAGGTGTTCTATCACGGATATTGGGGTACAATCTGTGATTCTTTATGGGATTTCAGCGATGCTAGGTTGTATGCCATCAACTTGGCTATCCGGATGCTGTTAAAACTCTTCAAAGAAACGAAGTCCCCAAAGGTTCTGGACAAGTATGGTTAGCATATGTCTCTTGTACTGGGGCAGAGCGCAATATAACAAGTTGTTCTCATAGTTCTTGGGGACTTTATCCTTGCACTCATCATCGCGACGCTGGAGTTCAATGTTCTACAACAGGTCGGTACTTACACATTATGCAGTATACAGTAGTCCCCCGCTAACTCGAACTCGCTTTACTCGAACTCCTCGCTAACTCGAACTAAATCCAATTCCCCTTGAATTTGACAGTGTTTTATAGTAATTTACTCCGCTTAACTCGAACTCGCTTAACTCGAACTCCTCGCTAATTCGAACAAATTTTGTTTCCCCTTGGTCAAATATACCCGGTTAACTCGAACTTTGGTTTCGAATCATAGATCAGCAAACTTTAAAATGTGAGAAGATAGAATTTTGACAACTGGAAACTATCAAAATAACAACAAGTTAATCAGTGTATGATTGTATATAAATGCTTATAAATTTTAAAAGATTTTGTGTAGTGGTACGGTCGTTATTGATCTAACTTTTTTAGTTCCTTTTGTATTCTTTCGATCTTTTTAATTTTAAAACGTCGTCCACTCTCGCTGACCATTCATATTGGTAGGCATGATATCCCTTGAAGAATGATTCGATTGGATTTTATACCTTATTGTATTACTTATATAATAAACGTAATCTGACACCAACTCCGGTTAACTCGAACCCCCGGTAACTCGAACAATTTTTCTTTCCCCTTGGGAGTTCGAGTTAGCGAGGGACTACTGTATAAACTTCCAATGTGCTGTCGGTTGAAGGTTGGAAAACAATCTTATAAGTAAGGTTTAAAAGGTCATTATTTTCAGTAATAATGTAGATACATTAAAGTTACTTCGGAGCGGCAGTTATTAATAATAACTTATTTTCTAAATATATTTAACAGCTATTCTGCAAATTCAAGTTTTACTAGCGCTGATATTATAAATTATAACTATATACAAGCGCTGGATAATACAAATTTCAAATTTGTTGGTAATTTACCTAATAACTGGATACATTTTAGCTATATACTGAACAGTAAAATCGTTTTAAGCGGCTTACTTCTCTCATGGGCAATGAAATGAATACTTTTAAATATAAGGCAATATAAAGTAGTCTGGCAAAGTTCCATTGGCGTCAATCGAACGAAATTAATTGAGTTGGGCCAAATTCATATATTCTGTTATGCCTGGCTGATTTTTATTGAAAATTAATTTCTTTACAAACGAAATTAGTACAATATATCATATATATAAATATGGTTATCTTCAATTATACGTTTGATTGACGCCAATCGTGGTATATATATATATATATATATATATATATATATATATATATATATATATATATATATATATATATATATACACCCGAAATATATGATGTAGACATGTCCGGTATTATATGACAATACTATTACAAAAGAGACTTCAACTTCTGCGGACATAATTTTTTTTTTTTATTTTATATTAAAATAATTAAAAACGTTTCGCTATTTACAGCTTCATCAGTTTATTAAAAGTTCAAGCCATACACCGTTCTCTTTTATAATGCAGTCCATCTAATCACAAATGCTATATATCAATAAACCTGCCAATACAACCATTCATTAAACTATGTTTACTATTTTTAATTTCAAAAGCTTCTAAAATTTTGCGTTCATCAATCATGTTGATGCCCATCTTAAGGATACGGAAGACTTTATAAGTTTTCTTAAAGACATAGATGGGAAGGAAGTACAGGGCATCTGTAGCTTGGATGTTAAGAACTTGTATGGGTCTGTTCCTTTAGAAGATGTGAATGACAATACACTAGGAGTATTTACAGTTGTGAAGAATTTTTTTGACGAACATAAGAATGATACATGTCTATCGAATTTAGATGTAAGAGATTTCGAAAAACTTTTGCGTTTATCCATCACTACCGATACTGTACTCATTCATGAGAAAGGATATCATCAGCCTAGCCATGGGAAACAACCTTGCACCTATGTTAGCTATTATTTACATGCACTCTTTAGACACACTTATAATTGAGAAGTCGGGAGGTTCTGTCTCACTGAAACGATACATTGATGATATATTTGCAGTACTACATTCCGACAGGATTAATGCTGACAAATTATTAGAGATATCCAATGATCTTAATGAAGCCATTAAATTTACATTGGAAAAGCCGAACAGCTCAAATGAATTACCGTTTCTGGACACTCTAGTCAGCTTCGACCAAAATACGAAACAATTTAGAAGTGAATTGTATGTTAAACCCATTCATAGCGGTTCTATTACGTCTTGGGATAGCCATGGGCCTATTTGTTTCAAGCGGGCGTTAATCATTGGTGAAACCAAGAGAGCGTTACGTTGTTCCATGGATCGTCCATCGAAAAATCGATTGTTAAAAAAGATAACCAAAACGTTTACCAGCAACGGTTATCCCAGGAGATTTGTTAGAGCAATCATTAGGCGTACAGTCAGTACTACATCTCAAAAACAGGAAGGGAATCCCAACATGACTTATTTAAAATTACCATACATCGATGAGGAATTAAAACGGAGAGCATTAGCAGTGATTAGACAGTCGGGAATAAAAGACATTAGAACATGTTTTATTAATGGCCCTTCATTGTCGAAAGTCTTGTAAGATGGCGAAACTTGTAAGATGGCGATCAAACCAGATTGTTGTTCGGCCAAAAGCGTCATATATAAGATCTCTTGTTTATACTGTCACGCTGTATACATAGGGGAAACTGGCAGAACCATGCGGACCAGGATTAAGGAACATCTAACCATGAAAAAGCAAACGGTATATACGCATTTACAAACACATAGTAATGATTCCAGGGAGGGTTCACCCATCACCTGGGGAATACTACATTACAATATCCAATATTATAATGAACGCAAAATTTTAGAAGCTTTTGAAATTAAAAATAGTAAACATAGTTTAATGAATGGTTGTATTGGCAGGTTTATTGATATATAGCATTTGTAATTAGATGGACTGCATTATAAAAGAGAACGGTGTATGGCTTGAACTTTTAATAAACTGATGAAGCTGTAAATAGCGAAACATTTTTAATTATTTTAATATAAAATAAAAAAAAAATTATGTCCGCAGAAGTTGAAGTCTCTTTTGTAATAGTATTGTCATATATACACCCATTTGCAAAAACGTTGGCCGCAGATAGATAGATAGATAGATACTCGAAATCTAATTAGAATTGCATATGTTGTGTAATATGATTGAAGTCCCATGCAAATGTAATCATTTGCAATTCTAATTAGACTTCGAGTATCTATCTATCTATCTATCTGCGGCCAACGTTTTTGCAAATGGGTGTACATATATACATATATATATATATATAAAGATAAAATAAAATAAACTTGGTTTACTTCATAAGATTTTATTCACTACAAACTTGTTTTGTATATATATATATATATATATACATATATATATATATATATATATATATATATATATATATATATATATATATATATATATATATATATATATATATATATATATATATATATATATATATAACCAACAAGTATTCCCACACTGCTCGGTAGCAAAGACATATAGGAAACAATTGTAACTACCACGGCCAGAAGTAAAACTAAAAGATTTTATTAAAAATATACTAAGCTTAAATTTTCGGCCACATGCCGCAGCCTTCTTCAGAAATTAACTAACTAATACAAATAAGTCCAATATATAAGAAGAAGAACATGCATAATACATAATACAAATTATAGCCTATTGTTGAGAAAAGTCATGAGTGCTATTCAAACCACCCAAATTAGTCAGTAACATTCCTATCCAAAAGTTCTCACACTTTCTTAAATCCTCTTTGTTTTGATCAATCAACATAGACTTCAATTTCAAATGCTTATTGTCATGCTTATCAATAAAATGGTTAACTACACCGCATGTTCTACGACCATGTTTAATGTGGGACTTGTAATTAGCTAAACGGGGCTTGAAATTAATAGTAGAACCAATGCCCTGCAGATTACAAGCCACACACTCAGCTAGGTAAATAACATGCTCAGAGGTACACGTCAAAGTCTTACGAATACTAAACTTTCTCCCCGTCACGGCTGACACAAACTCACCACCAGGTTTTAAGAAATGTTGACAACAATCACATCTCCTGGCAGTGCATTTAATACAACCTTGACCAACAGGCCCAATAATACGATAAGGGTTAGACGGGGCTAACAGCTCTTTCAAATTAGCACCCCTGGTATATGCTACTTGGATAGAATCCTTGGGAAGAATAGCGCTAGCACGCTCATCTGTGTCAATGATATCACGGTGTTTAGCCAAAATGCTGGCGATGTTGGGTGCGTGAGGATTGTATTTGGTTACAAATACACATTTCCCACCTCTAGATTTGGGTTTTTATTTCGCGCTTCATGTCGAGTCATCGAACCCACTTCCTCAAATACCTGGTTAACATGAGTACTATTATGACCACAATCTATCAGATACTTAGCGTATATTTTACTAATAGCAAGAAAATCACTATCCTCAGAACAGATACGTCTTAACCTAAGAGCTACACCTTTGGCTATACCCCGTATCTGAGACTTAGGATGCGATGACTGAGCGCTAAGGTATAAATGGGCATCAGTGGGCTTACTATAGATAGAAGTAACCAGTTTCCTATTAACAATAGTAATAAATAGATCAAGAAAATGCAAACTACGCCCTCCAATTTCCATAGTAAATTGTAATTGCTGATCGAATGTGTTTAGGACACTGAAAAAAGCGTTAAGACGTTCCACAGAACCACGCCAAAGTACAAAAATCATCACGGAATCGAAACCAACACCTAAGTTCAGAAAATGTGGAACGCGCCGTCAAAACTTGCTTATCTATATTTTCCGCCACAATATCAGCATACGAGCAAGAATTCTTGGGGCCCATAGCTGTACCGTTTTTTTGCAGCCAAAATTGCGAACGAAAGGTCGAACAATTACTCTTAAGACAAATTTCCAGAGCTTCCATAACACATTCAACCGGCACGTCAATCCTGTCAGCGTATTCATTAAGCTTATGCCTAACTCTTTCCATCCCCGACTGATTATCTATCGAGGGAAACATATTAGTAATGTCGAAACTGACTAACAAGTCACTCTCATCCAATCCCTCAGAATTAAGGTCATCAATAATATTGAGCATATGCCTGGTATCCTGAACACGACAAGAAATAGTATCCATAACACACTACATATTTTTCAACAAATAAAGATAAATTCTCTGTAGGTGTACCACAACCAGATGTAATAACTCGTGCAGGATTACCAGGCTTATGCGTTTTTATCAACGGGTAGTTGATACCTGGACCAGACCTATCATTATCAGTGACAAATCTAATCCATTTATCAGACAAACCGCATGGTTTCCATTTCTTGGTCCAACTCAAAATTTCAGCACACGTTTCATCTGAAATGTCGTGGTCTAAAATCTGAAATGAACCCCTATCCATTTGCTCCTTAACCTTAACAGCGTCTATATCATTATCTAAAAAGACAAAACTGTTACTTTTGTCTTGGATACGGATGATCAAATTACGTTCATCAATAGGTGTAGACCTAAATTTAGTTAGTGCTTCGCGTTCTTCAAGTGTTAAATTATCAGGCACATGATTCCGTCTAGCTGTATCAAATAAATCCTTTTCTACTTTATTTAAAAATATCGCTGGGACTCTACTAGATGGTGGTGGGTCTCTAGTCGATTTAACACAAGGAGGCCCCAAAGGATTTGCCACAAATACATTATTAGGATTATCAGGAGAATAAAAAAATGCCCGCCATCTTATTTTGCGCTTTAGATCTTGCCAGCTTTCTTGTAAACTATTCCAATCAACACTTCCAGGAGTAGGCACGAACGATGGACCACGTTTACAGAGATTCACAAGTGCTTGTTCAACAGGTTTATCCGTAAGATTGACCGGTTCAACTTTCTGTGGTTCATCAACACAGTCTGTACTCCCATGATTATCACTCACTAATACCTTTCTTTGTTGTATACCATCACGGTTATATTTGGATGAGAGTGACTTGTTAGTCAGTTTCGACATTACTAATATGTTTCCCTCGATAGATAATCAGTCGGGGATGGAAAGAGTTAGGCATAAGCTTAATGAATACGCTGACAGGATTGACGTGCCGGTTGAATGTGTTATGGAAGCTCTGGAAATTTGTCTTAAGAGTAATTGTTCGACCTTTCGTTCGCAATTTTGGCTGCAAAAAAACGGTACAGCTATGCCTATGGGCCCCAAGAATTCTTGCTCGTATGCTGATATTGTGGCGGAAAATATAGATAAGCAAGTTTTGACGGCGCGTTCCACATTTTCTGAACTTAGGTGTTGGTTTCGATTCCGTGATGATACTTTTGTACTTTGGCGTGGTTCTGTGGAACGTCTTAACGCTTTTTTCAGTGTCCTAAACACATTCGATCAGCAATTACAATTTACTATGGAAATTGGAGGGCGTAGTTTGCATTTTCTTGATCTATTTATTACTATTGTTAATAGGAAACTGGTTACTTCTATCTATAGTAAGCCCACTGATGCCCATTTATACCTTAGCGCTCAGTCATCGCATCCTAAGTCTCAGATACGGGGTATAGCCAAAGGTGTAGCTCTTAGGTTAAGACGTATCTGTTCTGAGGATAGTGATTTTCTTGCTATTAGTAAAATATACGCTAAGTATCTGATAGATTGTGGTCATAATAGTACTCATGTTAACCAGGTATTTGAGGAAGTGGGTTCGATGACTCGACATGAAGCGCGAAATAAAAAACCCAAATCTAGAGGTGGGAAATGTGTATTTGTAACCAAATACAATCCTCACGCACCCAACATCGCCAGCATTTTGGCTAAACACCGTGATATCATTGACACAGATGAGCGTGCTAGCGCTATTCTTCCCAAGGATTCTATCCAAGTAGCATATACCAGGGGTGCTAATTTGAAAGAGCTGTTAGCCCCGTCTAACCCTTATCGTATTATTGGGCCTGTTGGTCAAGGTTGTATTAAATGCACTGCCAGGAGATGTGATTGTTGTCAACATTTCTTAAAACCTGGTGGTGAGTTTGTGTCAGCCGTGACGGGGAGAAAGTTTAGTATTCGTAAGACTTTGACGTGTACCTCTGAGCATGTTATTTACCTAGCTGAGTGTGTGGCTTGTAATCTGCAGGGCATTGGTTCTACTATTAATTTCAAGCCCCGTTTAGCTAATTACAAGTCCCACATTAAACATGGTCGTAGAACATGCGGTGTAGTTAACCATTTTATTGATAAGCATGACAATAAGCATTTGAAATTGAAGTCTATGTTGATTGATCAAAAACAAAGAGGATTTAAGAAAGTGTGAGAACTTTTGGATAGGAATGTTACTGACTAATTTGGGTGGTTTGAATAGCACTCATGACTTTTCTCAACAATAGGCTATAATTTGTATTATGTATTATGCATGTTCTTCTTCTTATATATTGGACTTATTTGTATTAGTTAGTATTTCTGAAGAAGGCTGCGGCATGTGGCCGAAAATTTAAGCTTAGTATATTTTTAATAAAATCTTTTAGTTTTACTTCTGGCCGTGGTAGTTACAATTGTT